TGGGGGGGCCTTGCTAGTTGCTGGGCTTGGGCAGTGGGGGCCCTCCACTGGCGGCTGTTTGTAGCACGGCCCAACAGGACAGCAGATGAGTCACTAGGCCTGGGTCTCACAACCTGTCCAACCAGTCGCCTCCCAGGGAGAGACACAAAGGGAAGAGGGTGGAGACCAACCCTGGTCCGGTGGGCAGGGATGGAAGAGAGTCAGTTTGTCTGAAATCATGGAGGAAGCAGCAGAGGCAACGGGCTGGGATTTAGGGGCCCAGTCTCCCCACCTCAAGGGGGGCTGAGGCATCCTAGCCTGGCCCTGTAGCTAAATTCCATCTGTGCTGTGCTGCATCCTTGGAGAAGCAATAAACTCCCTCAATCTTACTGGCTGGCGGAGTCTGTTCGTGCCACTACGGGGGAACCCCAACGCGTCATCACAGCCTGGGACAGCTGTGGTGTGGACCAGGAGATCCGGCTCAAGGCTAGATGCGGCAGTTGGGGGGCAGGGAGCAGCATGGCAGGCCCCAGCCTGGCTGCAAAGAGGCTGCCCCGCAAGGCGCGTGGAGAGGGCTCACGGCCCGGGAACGCCTGTTAGCGGCGCCCAGGAAGAATGAGCATTTGTCTGCTTGGAGAGGCCGGGGCAGAGGCATCAGCTGAAGGACGCGGCAAGTGACTCGGCACAAAGGCAGCTTTGTAGAGCTGGCTAAACGTTTGCCCAGCCCAGTAAAACACCATCAGGAAAGGGCAAGGCCCCGGTCGGCAGCCACCTAACTCCTCTCCCTCCCGCCCCCCAACCTCATGCAGCGGGAAGGATGGCGCTGCCTCTATTTCCAACTCCCTAGGTGTCCTGGCTCCCCCCCCTCCTCCCCGCAGCCTGGGCTAAGACAGACGCCGCAACACGAATTCAACTCCGCTAGGGCAGGGCGTGCACGGAGGGGGTCACACGAGGTTTCTGCAGATGCAGAGTGGAACACGCGCTCCCAGAAGCTGCTTCTGTCGCTGGATGTGTCTGGGCGCACGTTGCTCTCTGCTCCCGGTGGGCACAGCTAGTGCTGTGCCCAAGGCAACCAGCATGGGCCTGCAGCCAGTGACTGGGGGGTTGGACAACCCCTCCCAGCACAGCCCCCCAAAAACCAGAACGAAGGGGACCAGGCCAATGCACCCCCTGCCTCCCAGGGAGCAGCCAGCCTAAACACAGCAGAGAGGAGATGCTCAGATATTGCAGAAAAGGGGGCCTGAGGTACCCTGGACGGGTTACTTCCAACAGCAGGTGGCCGTCTGAAACCCACTTCTCCGCCCCATGCTCCCAGATGGCAGGGCAGACAGAGCCGAGCTGCCGCCTGACTCCACCCCTCATGCAGTGAGCTGGCCTTGGAGCAGGGCAAGTTCTGGGCCAATCAGGTGGGAATTGCTCCAGCCAGCCCCCGGGGGCAGGGCCC